GTGGAGATAAATGAGTTAGAAAACCAAACAGAGCCTTGGCGATGACAACTAGAATAGAACTGATAGACGAGAATTGGTTCGCGACAAAGACCAAATAAATAGGCAAGTCTGATTAGGAAAAAGAGAAACTACAAACAAACTATATTAAATATGAAAAAAGGATATGACCTTCCATGAATTATAAAAGATTCTGATGATAATTTAATGCTGGTAAAATTTAAAAGCAAGATAAAATAGACATTTATGTAAATTACTAATACTAATGCAAGAAGAAATATAAAAGCTGGGGAAAGAAATCTAACAGCCATAAAGGAAATTGTAAAAATATTAAAAGCGGGGGCGGTTCTGTGGCGTAGCAGGTAAAGCTGCTGCCTGCAGTGCCAGCATCCTATGTGGGCACCAGTTCGAGTTCCAGCTCCACTAATGATTCAGGTCTCTGCTGTGGCCTGGGAAAGCAATAGAAGATGGCCCAAGTCCTTGGACCCCTGCACCCGCATGGGAGACCGGGAAGAAGCTCCTGGCTCCCGGCTTTGGATCAGCCGTTGCAGCCATGTGGGAAGTGAACCAGCAGATGGAAGATCTCTCCCTTTTTCTGCCTCTGCCTCTCTGTAACTCTGCCTCAAATAAATAAATAAATCTTTAAAAATATATATATAGCAAAAGCAGCAACAACAAAAACCTTCCTCAAAATATACAGATATAGATAATTCTGCAGAAAATGTTTTGCTAACATTCCGGAAGCAAATAATTCCTGTTATATAAATAAAAGGTCAAGATTCTCAATTTTTGAAGTCAAGTAAACATAGCTGACACCCAAACTCTAAAGAAAACAAGAAAAAATGATTATAGAATAACATGCTTACAAATATAGTTGTAAAATCAAGCCAAATTTGGGCCGGCGCCGCGGCTCACTAGGCTAATCCTCCGCCTTGCGGCACCGGCACACCGGGTTCTAGTCCCGGTCGGGGCGCCGGATTCTGTCCCGGTTGCCCCTCTTCCAGGCCAGCTCTCTGCTGTGGCCAGGGAGTGCAGTGGAGGATGGCCCAGGTGCTTGGGCCCTGCACCCCATGGGAGACCAGGATAAGTACCTGGCTCCTGACATTGGATCAGCGCGGTGCACTGGCCGCCGCGGCTAGCGGAGGGTAAACCAACGGCAAAGGAAAACCTTTCTCTCTCTCTCTCTCTCTCTCTCTCTCTCTCTCACTGTCCACTCTGCCTGTCAAAAAATTAAAAAAAAAAAGTCAAGACAGATTTGAAAACTAATCCAAATATATCTCATTATCAACTAGAGTATGGCTCAGAAGTTCAAAGTTATTTTGCTTTTGAAGAAAAATATGATAGCCAGATAGACACAAAAAATATGGTACTTAGTTAAATTCAGAAGTCATCTCAAATATCAACATGTTAAAAAAGTATCCCTAAGAAACCCAGTTAAACTCCTATTTAAAAGAGAACTGCTAGAGATATTCCAATTAGAGTTAGAAATCAGCTAAGATCTCTTGTTTTCACAAGGCTATTCAGTATTATTTGCCTTTATTAGCCAGGACACAAAGCAAGAGAGATAAGATATAAATATCCCAAAGAAAAATTGAAATTACCAAGAACCTGAAAGCACAAAAGTAAATATAAGAGAACTTTTTAAAAAATGCTTGGGGTGAGAAAGTCCTTTTCAAATCGTAAAACCTAGAAATGGCTACAGAATAAAAGATCTTCTACAAGAAAGACAAAGTTTGAAAGATAAATAGTAAACAGAGAAAACATTTGCAGTACATATAAGAGAAAGGCTTTAGCATCATAAAATAGAGTCCTATGAATATGAAAAAAATTTTAAAGATGTGTTTACTGATTTAAAAAAGCAGAGTAACAGAGACTGCAGAGAGAGAGATCTTCCATCCTCTGCTCCACTCTCCAAATGCCCTCAACAGCCAGGGCTGAGCCAGGCTAAGCCAGGAGCCAGGAATTCCATCTGGACAAGGACTTGAGTACTTGAGTCATTATCAACCACTGCCTCCCAGGTGCAACAACAGAAAGATAGGAAGTGGAGCAGCTGGGACTCAAACCAGCACTCTATCATGGGATGCCAGCTTCCCAAGTGGTGGCTTAACCCACTGTGCCACAACACCTGTCCCAAGAAATTGTTAAAACCTCACTTTGGGGAGAGGGTAAAATAAGCAAAGGACATAAACAAAGAAGTACAGGAAACAGAAATATTTCTCACTGTGATATTGTCATATATTTTTTAAGATTTATTTATTTATTTGAAAGTCAGAGTTACACAGAGCGAGGAGGACAGGCAGAGAGAGAGAGAGGTCTTCCATCCGATGGTTCACTCCCTAATTGGCTGCAACAGCTGGAGCTGTGCCCATCTGAAGCCAGGAGCCAGGAGCTTCCTCGGGGTCTCCCACGTGGGTGCAGGGGCCCAAAGACCCGGGTCATCCTCTACTGCTCTCCCAGGCAACAGCAGAGAGCTGGATAGGAAGTGGAGCAGCAGGGACTTGAACCGGCACCCATATGGGATGCCAGCACTGCAGGCGGCAGCCTTACCCCCTACGCCACAGCACCGGCCTTGTCATATGTTTTTAAGTTAGGTGATATTTAGTATTGGTGAGAGTGTAGGGAAATGAATACTCCCATATAGTGCCCGTGAGAGGTTGATAAGTTTTTTGAAGAGCAATTGAACAGCACCCCTTAGTTATGAGTGCTCAGTGTCTTCCATTTAACATTTCCACTTTTTTTTTTTTTTTTTTATTGACAGGCAGAGTTAGACAGTGAGAGAGAGAGAGAGACAGAGAGAAAGGTCTTCCTTTTTCCACTGGTTCACCCCCCAAATGGCCACTATGGCTGGTGCTGGCCAATCCGAAGCCAGGAGCCAGGTGCTTCCTCCTGGTCTCCCATGCGGGTGCAGGACCCAAGCACTTGGGCCATCCTCCACTGCCCTCCCGGGCCACAGCAGAGAGCTGGCCTGGAAGAGGGGCAACTGGGACAGAATCCGGCGCCCCAACCGGGACTAGAACCCGGTGTGCCGGCGCTGCGCTCACTTGGTCAATTCTCCGCTTGTGGCGCTGGCATCCCATATGGGCGCCGGGTTCTAGTCCCGGTTGCTCCTCTTCCGGTTCAGCTCTCTGCTGTGGCCTGGGAAGGCAGTGGAGGATGGCCCAAGTCCTCGGGCCCCTGCACCTGCATGGGAGACCGCGATGAGGCACCTGGCTCCTGGCTTCGGATCGGTGTAGCTCCAGCCGTAGCAGCCATTTGGGGGGTGAACCAACGGAAGGAAGACCTTTCTCTCTGTCTCTCTCACTGTCTAACTCTATCTGTCAAATAAAAAAAATTTTAAAAAGATACATATGAAATGGTATTTGTAATATTATATGTAACAGCAAAAAAAGAACATGTTACCTAGATATTGCTTTAATAGTCATTAAAAGAAATATTCATGCAGCCAACAGAAGAATTGAAGTACAGCCATGTATTGACATGATAAAACACCCAGAAGATAACAGCTTTAATAAATAAAGCAAATCTCAGGAAAATACATACGATTTCATCTATATACTTTTAGTATTGATCATCATTTATATAACACAATGGACAAACATCCATCAACAATCTGACAATGATTCTTAAGGTACCTGTACTTTCTACATTATATATTTCTGTATTTTAGTTTTATATAATCTACACTAATTGGGTTCATTTTTAGAAACAAATGATTTGTTAAATATACAGGAACAAAAAAGGAATAAACCTAATCTTGAATAATCCTAAAGTTTGCTTCCAGTTTGGATTCAGGCTTATCTGTCATACGGACTATTAGATGTGGATATATTTTTTCTTTTTTTTTAAACATTATTTATTTACTTGAAGGGCAGTTACAGAGGCAGAGGCAAAGAGAGAGAGAGGTCTTCCATCCTCTGGTTCATTCCCCAGATGGCTGCAACTGCCGGAACTGGGCCGATCCGAAGGCAGGAGCCAGGAATTTCTTCCAGGTCTCCCACGTGGGTGCAGGGGCCCAAGGACTTGGGCAATCTTCTGCTTTCCCAGGCCATAGCAGAGAGCTGGATCAGAAGTGGAGGAGCCGAGACTTGAACCAGCACCCGTATGGAATGCCAGCACTGCAGGTGGCGGCTTTACCCGCTACGCCACAGTGCCGGCTCTGGATATATTTTCTATATGAGCTATAATATATACGTAGTTATTTAGAAACTGTGACATGATATTCAAAGACAAATATTTAGTATAGAGGGAAAAATTGAAGTGTTCTGTAGTTTACCCTAACAGATTAATATCTAAATGATTCAGTATCAACAACTATAAATCATGGATTTTCCTCTTTTTGTATTTCATTACCTGCAAATTCAAACCTTCCAAGAACACATTTCCATATTAACATTTCCTCCTAATATAGTGCTCACAGGTAAGTATACACAGTTGGTCCTCAGTGTCTGAGTTCCACATCCACAGATTCTCAGCCAACCACAGATAGAAAGTATTTTTGAAAATTTACATCTATATGGAGTATGTACAGATTTTTTTTATTTCTAAAAAATACAGAATAACAAGTATTTATACAGCATTTATACTGTGTTGGGTATTATAGTAATCTAGAAGTGATTTAAAGTATAGGGGAGGATATGTGAATAGGTTCTATGCAAATATTATGCCATTTAATATAAGGGACTTGCGTATCTGCAGATTTTGCTATCTACAAGTGGTTCTGGAACAGATCAGCTATGGATATTGAGGGATGATTATATTCACAAATCTATGGAGGAATATAGATGTGGCAGCCCCCTGAGTATTGAATAAAACATCATTTTACTAAAAGCGGGAAAGAGCATGCTAATAAGGTAGTGATGGCGCTCATCAGACTTACAAATATTGAACAGATAGGTGACAAATCACAAAGCATTCCAGTAATAGAACAGATACTTCTGATGAACTGTGATACTTGTCTTTCAAGTTGCTGAAATCGAGTAACTCAATTTGTCTGATTTCTTCAGGTGGATGATGCTGATGAACCTGACAAAACAGGGGAAAATAAGGCACCTAGTAAGTTCCAGTCTGTGGGAGTGCAAGTAGAAGAGGAGAAGTGGTGAGTGCATAGCATGCATCCTCTTCCATCTTGGTGTTGGCAAGCATTTGTTCCCATGGGAAACCTACAAAATTGATTGCTGTTTCCCACCAACTCCTGGGAGCATTTAAGCTTGAATCAATAGTAGCTGATTCCCTTTTATGATTTAATCCTGGAAACCACTCATTTAAGTTTAAGATACAATGATAGTATAAATATATCACATTAACATAAACACTGCATTTACAATTCCTCTTTTTAAAAGAAAGCTATCATTTTAGACTGTGAACTTTTTTTTTTTCTTTTTAAGAATTATTTATTTTCATTTGAAAGGCAGAGTCACAGAGAAAGAAAAGGAGAGCTCCCATTTATTGATTCACTCCCCAAGGTTGGGCCAGGCTGAAGTCAGGAGCCAGGAGCTTCATCTGGGTCTTCCACATGGTAGTAGGGGCCCAAGGACTTGGGCCATCTTCCATTGCCTTCCCAGGTGCACCAACAGAGAACTGGATCAGAAGTGGATCAGCCAAGACTCAAACCAGTGGGATGCCAGTGTTGCAGTTAGTGGCTTAACTCACTGTACCACAGCACCAGGGCCTGGACTATAGACTTTTTGTGACAAGAGAACTTATTTCTGTTTTTATTACCAGCACATAGTACCTGATGGTTAGTATGTGCTCAGTGAATGATGAATGATGAATGATTGAGGAAAAATAAAGAAATATTCCCTATCATTATCCTGAACCACCACTTTGTTTAGATTGCTCTTTGAAATAAACTTACTCTAAAGTCTTAGTAATCAATAAGTGGGAAATTTAGATTTTCATCAGATCAGAACCCAGGAGCAGGAAGGGAGCTCTGAGGTTTTTTCAATGTATAAACAAGAATTTGATTGAGGCATAGTATAATGAGTTTCTCAAACTGTGAGGTCGTTGGTGGTTGGAATTCTATTTTATTGGCAGTGGTGCTCCCAACTTCCAGCTCTGTACTTTGCACATACTAAGCACACAGTAAATGTTGACTGACTGAAGTTAAACTGGAGTGATGGCAGGGGAAAGAGCTCTAAATGATAAGTCAGGGTATTGTCTCAACTTTGCCACGAATGTTTTGTGTATTACTTTGGATGAATCATTTGGATGTCATCTGTCACTCATCCATTCTGCTATGGTTTGTATACAGTTTGTCCCCTCTGGAATTCAGGTTGAAATTTGTTTGCCATTGTGGTGGTGTTGGGAGGTTGGGTCCTTAAAAGGGGACTAAATTGCCAAGAGGGATTAATGCCTTTCTCACAGGAGTGGTTAGTTATCTTTATCCGGCTTCTTCTGGCTGGGCCATCTTCTGCTGCTTTCCCAGGTGCATTAGCAGGGAGCTGATAGAAAGTGGAGCAGTCGGGCCTCTCACCAGCACCCATATGGGATGCCTAGGTGGCTTAACCCTCTATGCCACAGCGCCGACCCCATCATCATTGTTTTCTTGCCAGGTATGTGTTCTAGGTATGTGTAGCAATTTTTTTGAAAGTTTAAATTTAGTGGACGTGAAAGATCTCATGGTGAGAAACCCATTCCTCCACGCTTCAGCAGCTCAGGTTGTTTGTTTTGCTCAGTGGTGCTGCGGTTAAGAACACAGACTCTGGAGCCAGAATACCTAGATCCAAACCCTGGCTCTGCCACCTACGAGATGACGGGTCCTGAGCAAATCACTACATCGTGAAAAGGGGACAAAAGGCAGTTTCCAGCCCAGACTATAAGGAGATTAGAAGTTGCCACTCTTTCCAAACAACAAGTAAATATCTGAACAAACTGAAAAATCAATAGCCTTTCTTATGTCTGTCAGAGAGAGGTCATGGGGCAAAGTGCTCCCCTGAAAATTAGAGAAAGAGACAGATGTGGACAGTCACACCTACTGGAATGCAAACCCTTGGTCAGAAGACTGCAGGAACCAGTGCCAGAGTAGGCAATCCTGCTGGAGGCTCAGTGTGGACAAACCTGAGTGTGAAAAACTCCAGGGAGACCCTGTCATAGGAGGACTTTTGTGAGTTTTAGCTCCAAGAGCTCTACCAGGTCTTCACAATGAGTTTTGGAGAAAAAATGCCTTTTGTTCCCAGCAAGGTGAAGGAAAAAAGAACCATTGCGAAATACAGCCGGGCGTTCTTCAAAGGGCCTGCCTGCTGCAGAAGCTGTTTTAGTAGATCCTCTGGCCTGTGGGGTTTTATCAGAGCCTCATCTTCCTGGGGGAAGGGAACTAATCCCTCTGGGCAGGGAGAGAAATTCCCACCTGCAAACCCTGTCACCATCTCTACCCACATAAAGGGTGGGGGGAGGGACTGAGAAAACAATGGCTTCACAGTGCAGGGGGCAAAAGGCTGAGGGCCTAATCAGTGTGCTTTCTCCCCATACCTTGCCATTCATTAGTAAAGGCCTATTTACCACAGTGTATCATGTCCACTTTTCAAGAAATTACGAGGCATCCTAAAAGGTAAACCACAGTTTGAAGAGACAGAACAAACATCGGAATCAGATGTGGCAGGAATGTTGGAGTGACCATATAAAGAGTTTTTTTTAAACTGTGATTAATATGCTAAGGACCCTAATAGAAGAAGCTGAAGATGCAGAAACAGATGGATAACACACACATGGAGGTAGAAATTCTTCCTTTAAGATTTATTTATTTATAGGAAAGGCAACCACAGGGAGAGATGGGGGTGTGGCTGGCTGTCTTCCATCCACTGGTTTGCTCTGAGCAGGGCCAAAGCTAAGAGGAAGCAACTCCATTCTGGTTTCCCATGTGGAAGGCAGGGTCCCAAATACTTGTGCCATCTTCCACTGCCTTCTCAGGTGCACTTTCAGGAAGCTGGTTTGGAAGCAGAGTAGCTGGGACTCGAACTGGTGCTCTGATGCAGGATATTGTTGTCACAAGCAACAGTTTAACTTGCTGCACCACCATGCCAGTCCTGAGAGATGGAAACTCTAAGAATCAAATGCTAGTGATAAAAACCATTGTAACAGAAAGAGAAAATGTTCTAGATGAGCTCATTAGTAAACAGGATACTAATCTCTGAATGAGACAGAACAGTATTTGAATCCTTGAATTTAAGGATATAGCAATAAAAGTTCCAAAACCGAAAAACAAAGAGAAAAGAGAGTGAAAAAATCAGAACAGACTATCTGAAAGCTGGGACAACTACAAAAGGTGTAACTGACATGCCAGGAAAATACCAGAAGGAGGGGCCAGCGCTGTGGCACAGCAGGTTAACGCCCTGGCCTGCAGCACCGGCATCCCATATGGGCACTGGTTCGAGACCCAGCTGTTCCACTTCCTATCCAGCTCTCTGCTATGGCCTGGGAAAGCAGTGGAAGATGGCCCAAGTGCTCAGGCCCCTGCAGCTACCTGGGAGACCTGGAAGAAGCTCCTGGCTCCTGGCTTTAGATCAGCCCAGCTCCAGTCATTGCAGCCATTTAGACAGTGAATCAGATAGAAGATGTCTCTCTGACTTTCTTTCTCTCTCTCTCTCTCTCTCTCTCTCTCTCTGTAACTCTGCCTTTCAAATAAATAAATCTTTTAAAAAATAAAATAAAATCTTATTTTTCTTACTGTTAGTCATAGATAACAATTTGTTCAAAATAATAATAACAGTATATGCAAATATAGATCTAAACAGACATAGTTGTGTCTAGGTGAAACGAGTGACAGTGCTGTGGTGTGTGTTCCCCAGAGGGGCATGTGCTGGAAGCTTAGCTTCTGATGCATTGGTGTTAACAGGTGAGGGGACCTTTAAGAGGTGGTGGCCTGGTAGGAGATCATCAAGTCATTGGTAGTACTGACCTTCGAGGGCACTAACATGGCTCTCATTGGATCCCCAGTTTCTGACTTGCTGTCTCACCAAGGGATCTGACCTCACAGTCTCCCCATAGTGCCCTCCACCACCAGAACCACACCAGAGGCCAAGATGGGGCCTCTCTATCTTGGGTTTTCAGCCCCCAGAACTGTAAGCTAAGTAGATCTCTTCCCTTTACTTAAGGCACCAAGCCTCAGGAATTAGAAATATTTAGTTATTGTAAGCTACTTGTGCTATCTATAAAGTGGCATAGTATTATTTGAAAGTGGACCTGAATTAGTTGTAAAAGTACAGTGTAAACTCTAGGGCAACTACAATCGAAAAATTTGTTAAAGTATATAATTAATATGCCAAGAAAGGAGAGAAAGAATCACAGAAGTGCTCAGTTAAAAAGCACTAAAAACAGAAAGTGTAGTAGACAAAAAGAAAAAGAAAAAAAAAAAAACAGAAAACAGAATCTATAAAGGCTATTTTTTAAGAATTATTTTATTTATTCAAAAGAGAGAGAGGTAGAGTGAGAGTGAGAGAGAGGTCTTCCATTCTGCTGGTTCACTCCCCAAATGACCACAATGGCCAGAGCTAAGCTGATCCAAAGCCAGGAGCCAGGAGCTTTCTCCAGGTCTCCCACATGGGTGCAGGGGCACAAGGACTTGGGCCATCTTCTACTGCTTTCTCAGGCCATAGCAGAGAGCTGGATTGGAAAAGGAGCAGCTGGAACTCGAACTAGAGCCCATGTGGGAGGCCGGTGCTGCAGGCTGGGGCTTTAACCTGCTGTGCCACAACACCAGCCCCAATATAGAGGGTATTAATCCAATTCTATCAATAATCACTTTAGGCCAGTGCCGCTGCTCAATAGGCTAATCCTCTGCCTGCAGCGCCAGCACTCCGGGTTCTAGTCCCGGTCGGGGCACCAGATTCTGTCCCGGTTGCCCCTCTTCCAGTCCAGCTCTCTGCTGTGGCCCGGGAGGGCAGTGGAGGATGGCCCAAGTGCTTGGGCCCTGCACCTGCATGGGAGACCAGGAGAAGCACCTGGCTCCTGCCTTCAGATCAGCGCGGTGCGCCGGCCACAAAGGCCATTGGAGGGTGAACCAACAGTAAAAGAAGACCTTTCTCTCTGACTCTCTCTCACTGTCCACCCTGCCTGTCAAAAAAAATCACTTTAAATATCAATGGTTTAAATTCATCATAA